AATAAAACAACAACTCCTCCCTATCTAAGACTTCTTAATTAATTATACTGGAGACTGTAGAATCACAGCATGTAATTCATATACAAATTGCAGCGGATACAGCAGCAACGCCAGATACAGCAGCAGCAGCACCAACGACAGCAGCAGCAGCAGCAGCAATGACAGCAGCAATGACAGCAGCAGCAGCAATGACAGAAGCAATGACAGCAGCAGCAGCAATGATAGCAGCAATGACAGCAGCAGCAGCAATGATAGCAGCAATGACAGCAGCAATGACAGCAGCAGCAGCAGCAGATTGCTCACTGTAGTGTTTGTCTACGCAGACGCGGCCTTCTCCTTTGTGCTTAATATGACTCATGAAAGAGGGGTAAGCAACAGAGTTAATATTTTCTAACAACCCATGATGTGTAAGCACGAGCGCAGGAGACGCGCAGATTGCTGCAATCCATCGGCCTGCTGCATGCTGCTGCTTCAAAAGAGAAGCAAGATGTGCACTGTCTCTGCAGTTCTCAGCCCCCTTTAAACCTATTATACATTAATAAACACACGCATGCAAATCAACATATGCATGCACTTCTGCTACTATCTACACACAAGTTTGCATGCGTGTTGCGCCTGCTATTTCTATGCATGCATGCATGCATGCATGCAAGAGACTTACCACCAGGGAGCACAATTACGTCGTAGTGAGCGTCAGGAGAGACATCTTCCAGCGGCATATCTCCTTCAATGCGCAGCCCCTGAGCTGTCTTCACAATTAGCCCTTCACCGAGACTTGCAACAACTACTTTAACTCCTATAGAATATAATAAACAAATGCGGAAATAACGAGGCAAAGCAATAAATAAGCAAAGCAATATTATTATGTACGTCTTACTACTACACCCCATATCATTGCGGATATCTGCAAGCTGCATGCATGCATGCATGCACACCCACCTGCGCGACGCAGGACATCAACAGGCGATGCGAATTCAATATCTTCGGCGCCATTGGCCTGCAGCCGTAGCAACAACAGCAGCAGCAGCAGCAGAAGCAACAACAATAGCAGCAGAAATACCCGGGTGCATGCTATCATACGGAGCCCAGAGCCCATAGGGGTGTGCATACACTTCATTCTACGTCCAGCACATGCATGAAGAAGCTGTCTGTCTGCTCAGCTGCTGCTTCCGTCATATTATACAGCAGTATAGATCGCAGTACACAAACATAGAATACAACAAGGAAGAAGCACTTCCTTCGCAGCTGTACAGACACATCAGAGAGAGCAGCACACGAAGCAGCAGCAGCAGCACGAGCGGGAACCCCACTGCGAGAGCAGCATGCAAGCTAAAACCATAACTTAGGAGATTTAAACCAACGTAATTTAGCCTCACAAGAATAACAAGTGCTGTCTTTGTCATTGTGGAGCGTGATGCACGGTGCAGTATGCGGTGCTGCTGCAGTTGCTGTTGTTTGGATATCGCCGAGTTGAGTGCAGCACGAGCTTGAGGAATCGAAGAAAGAGGAGGAGAATAAACAGACTTCAATTGATCTGAATGGAATCTAACAGGAGAAAATTGAGATTTAAACGCATGTTTCTGAGAGATAAAGCCGAGATCAACGCCATAAGAGGAGAGGAAGGACGCCGGCAGAGCCCTACAGCCAAGTTGTAGACATGCAGCTGTCTTAAAGGTTCTCCCAGCGGTGCGTGCCTGAAACATCATTAATTTGGACATTGCGGGGAAATTAATTGAAAACAAAGTCATTAAAACAATAAATTCAGGTTTTTATCCAAAGAAAAACTTCGAACACAACGAATCTGAATGCGGCGTTTTCAGCTTACCGGCGTTTCGATGATGACGTGAAACAGCAGAAACACCAACAGCAGCAGAACAGCCACTCTGAGACCCATGTCCAGCTTCAAGCGTGAAGATCGAAGTATTAATAATATTAAAAAGGCAAAGAGAAATTTTTTTGGAGCTCAACACACCTGAATAAGAACGAGAAATTGCAGAAACTTGCAGAAGGTGCGGTGAAACAAACTCGGTGGCTGAGCTGTACGCATCCTTCACTCAACGCGATCATGGCCTAAACATGCGAGATATTTAAATGTTTTTAACAGATAACTTTGTCTTTTAAATAGAATTTTAATTATTAAAAATAAATAAAAACTCTCGACGATTTTGTATCGGATCGCCTTCGCTGCAGGCGTCTGGTGTGGAGTGTCTGCGCAGCTGTGCTGCCCATTGGAAACCAGCAAGAGATATTGTTGTTGTTGTTGTTGTTATTTGTTTATTCATATTTTCATGATTTTATTTGCTACATTCAACCGAAGAAACCAGTAAAGACATCGCACAATCTCAATGCAGGGAAGATGCCTATTCGTGCGGTGTCTAAGGATGCATATTTATTCAGGTTGCCACAGATAGGGGGATTGAAGAGTAGACCCCTGGTATAATCAATTTGCTGTAGCTGTAGCAAACGCAGCAGACGCAGAAAATGCACGCCTGCAGTTTGCTGCAGGTGCAGCAAACTGCACCTGCAGCAGACACACTGAGAGACGGAGGTGAGCAGACAGCCAGTGGAGAGCATAGAACAAGCTCTGCTGCTTATATTATTAGTTTATTATATTTTTACTCTTAATCTCTTTGCAGCTCGCGATGCCTTCTGCTGGACTGCAGCTGCAACGACAGCCCCACACAGCAGCAAGGGACGTAACTGAAGAGACTCCGCAGCAGCTATGCTGCTGCTGCGGCTTTCTGCTGCTGTTGCTCTCACTACTGTTGCAGCACAAGGAGAGAGAAGGAAGCAAAAGTGCTTCTGCATATATTCCTCTCGCGAGAAGTCAGGCACTGCTGCTTCTGCTGGTGTTGTTGTTTTGCTGTTCTTCCTGCTGTTGTTGACGCTCCTGCTGCTGTTGAAGTTGTTGTTATTGTTCTTGTTTGCTGTTGTTCACTTTTCCTGCTCCTTGCATGCATGCATGCATGCATGCATGCAAGCCAGCCAGGTGCATCTCATTTGAGTTATATGTGCTGTCTCTCTTTTCTGTTTGTCTAGGGGTTAGCTGTCTGTCTGTATATTGTTTTATTTTAATTTCTTTTTCTCTGTCTCCCCCTCAGCAGTTGTAACAATGCTCACAAACAAATGAGCAAATAAACACAAGTAAACAAGTAAAAAAATAAACAAATAAACGCGTTAGTAGGTTAATAACTAAACAAAACAACAAACAGGAGACAGAAACAACTATCATTAGGCTTTCTCTGCCTTTGTCTCCCTCTGTGGCTTAGACTGGCCGCTGCGCTGCGGCTGCTGCTTCTGCTTCTGCTGTTGTTGTTGTTGTTGCTGCTGCTGTTTTTGCTGCTGTTTCTGCTGCTGTTGCTTTTGTTGTTGCTCTTGCTGCTGCTGGAGTTGCTCCTGGTGCTGCTGCAGTTGTATCTCTGCAGCAGCAGCAGCAGCTGTCTTTTTAGCTTGCCGTTTTGTTTTCTCTGTCTTTCCCTTCGCAGCAGCAGCAGTAGCAGCAGGAGCAGAAGCAGCAGCAGCACAGGGCCCCTTTGCTTCTTCTGCTTCTGCTAATCCAGGGATAGCTTTGTTGCTTGCTGCATGCATTTTTGTCTTTTTGAATTGGGGTGTACGTGCAGCTCCAGCCCCCAAGACACTTTCCAAGACAAACTTTTCTATACGTGCTTGCTCCTGCTGCTGCTGCTGCTGCTGCTTCTGCTGCTGCTGCCGCTGCTGCTGCGCCTGCTGCAGCAACTTGCTGTCAGCAGGCACCGTCAGCGGCCGCAGCTGCAACTTCCCTCTCTTCTCCGCTCGTCGCTGCAGCAGCCGCAGCGTAACAACTGCACAACACACAAAAGCAGCAGCAGCAGCAGCAGCAGCAGCAGCAGTTCGTTTTCTCTCCGTAGCAGCTAGGATGTGCATGCAGCTAGGCTGTACATCATAGAGCTGGGGTGTACATGCAGCGACTAAGCCCCCTTGAAAAGAATTATTGCTGCCTTCGCATGCACTCGTTTCTCACCAGGTGCTGCGCTTGTCTTCTCTCCCTCTTCTGTGGATTCAGAACCCGCGAGGCCCTTGTCAGTGGCTTCAGCTGCTGCTGCTGCTGCTGCTGCTGTTGCTGCTGCTGGGGATGCTTGGGTCTCGGAAGACTGCTGCTGCTGCTGCTGCGGCTGCTGCTGCTGCGGCTGCTGCTGCTGTTCCTTAAGCAATCCCCAAGGAATACGTATCTGCTGCACCTGCGCTGTCTGGCGAGACACTCGAGCTTCTTCTGCTGCTTCCCTCATGGCTTCCGACAGCAAATTGTCGACTTCTCTCATGGCTTCCGACAGCAAATTGTCGAAGTCGTCGTCCTGCGGTGTACGTACACCCCACAGCTGCAACACAAGAGGTGCCTATACACCCGAACGCCACAGGAGGTGCCTATACACCCCACAGCTGCACCACGGAAGGTGCCTATACACCCTAACGACACGGGAGGTGCCTATACACCCCAGCGCCGGTAGTTACGCATGCAACATCTGCTGGCATCCTTACTTTAAAAATGAATAAGTATAGATAGACAAAATAATAATAATAATGCAATAAGTGAAGCAAGCAGCAAAGAAGCAATAAACATGTTTTTATTTGTTTATTTCATGCATAAACAAACAAACAGAGCCAGACAAAAACAAAAAAAGAAACGAAGAGAAGCAAACACACTCAAGCTAAACAAACAAACAAAAACAAACAAATGAACAGACGAAGGACCAACGGAGACACACAAAAGACAGAAAGAGACAGAGAAGACACCCAAAAGGAGATAAACAAACAAACAAACAAACAAACAAACAAATAAATAAATCAACGAACAAACAAATAAATAAATAAAAAACAAGCAAACAAACACACAAAACCAGCAACGAAAACAAAAGGAAAAGCAAATAAACAAACAAAACAAACAAAAAAACAAAAGCCCCTCAAGAGCAGCAACAACAGCAACAGCAGC